TGCCTGTCTTAGCTTTCCAACCCCACTAATCTCCAGAGCATCATGTAATGTAGGTTCTTGCTTCTAGAGCAGCTCCACTGCTGGGTGTTCACCAGTCCTAGGCCTCCACACCCCACCCACTCTGTTTGTTTTCTTCCTTCTGTTGAGCTGGGATGGGGGAAGGGTTTGGGTCCCACTGGATCATGGCTCTGCTACTTTACCTTTTCCATGAGATCTTCTCTTTTCCCCAGATGTAGGCAGTCTGCTGTAGTCTTTCCTGTTGCTCCTTAAGGATTATTTGTATTTGCTGTATTTTCATATTATATGTGGTTTTTGAGGAAGTTTCTTTCTCACTTCTCACATCTTTAATCATCTGGTGGAGAGAATTTTCCACTTGTTTTAGGTTTATTTATTTTTTTTGCTGTTACCATTTGAGGTTAAGTCAATGACATGGTATTTCACCTGTGAATACTTCAGCATGTATCCTTAAGAATTGTTAGGGGATTTTCCTTTTAATGTCCAAGCTAGTGGTTAGAGATTGACCATTAATGTGATGAATTGAAGGAGTCAAACAACTATATGGACTGCTCTAATTCAAACATGTAAACTTATGGATGTTCATAAGTTACTACTTTTGCTATATGGTTATAATTTATTTTTTGTGGACATTAGGCAACTCATTTTCATTTTTGTGGTTACAGCATATATCCAGGACTTTAGAAGGAGAAGTGGTAAATGTTTTGCTTTGAATTAAGTGAAATAGTTCTAAACTTTTAATTCCGTGACTCTTCTTGGAACTTGGTGAAAAGAAAAAATTAATGAACTGAGGGTGTTTGTATATAGAATTGAATGGGGGCCATGAGCTACATAGGAAGATGGAGAAATAAGGCATAGGTAGAACCCTGAAGTAATAGTGATAAACAGTGACCAAATTTAGGATTCAGCTAGGAGTATTTCATTGGCATTCTCCTGGCAGGTGGATTAAAATCAGTGTAGACTGCCTTCACAGAGCTGTTTGGAGAAGCAGCTGGCCTTTCAATGTTAAAGCCAGAGTTTTGAAAGGCTTGCCATTGTAGCAGATCTTGTCCCATCTCCAAATCTATTCTGGGCCTATGGCATACTTGCCAGATAAATATCATTTCCTAACTTTTTAGTATGTTTCATGCCCACCTTCCCGCTTTAAAATTTCCTACTGGGTATTTTGATACCACTTCTCCCCCAGTATAATAAACATGACTAAACTAGAGCTTGGAGAGAAATTGATAAGTGTAAATGTGATCTCTGTCTATTTTAATTCCTAGGCCACAGTAACATGTTTAAATTTAGGATATACCAACTTGTAATTCATAAAAGCTTCTGAAATAGGTTAAGGTATTTTTAACAACCTTTTTGCTTTGGTTACTCATAACAATAAGTAATTAAAAACAAAGTATCTATGTTTCCTCTATGAATTCTAATTCAGAGCATTTCAACTGGTCTTTTCTATCTTAATTTTCAACAGTAAACCTAGTGCTACATTTGTTTTAAGTATGAGTTTAGAAACCTAGTAGAATCTTTCCACAGTATTTACTATTACTGTGGAGTATTACTATTAATGACTAACCGACAATATATATAACAGTGATTCGTGTAACCAAAATTACACAAGTAAACTAGATTTGGTTTTGTGGAAACTCTTAGTTTGTTTAGGAAAACTATTGATATGAAAGCGTTAGATAAAAGATTGTTGGGGAAGGGAATATTCTTGTGGTTGCAAAGTATCCTTTGTACAGTACAGGTATATACCTAATTTTATTGAGCTTAACCTGCATCAGTTAAGTCTATCAGCACAATTTTTCCAACATTATTTGCTCACTTCATGTGTCTGTGTCACATTTTGGTAATTGTCATATTTCAACCTTTTTCATTATTATATTTGTTATGGTTATCTGTGATAATTGATCTTTGATATTACTATTGTAATTGTGAGCCCCACAAACTGTGCCCATGTAACACATGAACTTTATTGATAAATGTTGTATGTGTTCTGACTGCTCTACCCATTGGCCATTCCCCTCTCTCCTTTTCCTCAGATCTCCCTATTCTGAGACACAGCCGTATTTAAATTAGGCCAATTAATAACCCTATACTGGTTTCTAAGTGTTCAAGTGAAAGATTTGTATGTCTCTCACTTTAAATCAAAAGCCAGAAATGATCTAACTTAGTGAAGAAGGCATGTCAGAAGCTTAGTGAGATAGGCCAAAAGCTAGGCCTCTTGCACCAATTAGCCAAGTTGTGAGTGCAAAGGAAAAGCTTTTGAAGGAAATTAAAAGTGCTATTCCAGTGAACACACAAACAGTAGGAAACCTAAACAGCCCTACTGCTGATGTGGAGAAAGCTTTAGTGGTCTGGATAGATGACCAAACCAGCTACAAGATTCCCTTAAGCCAGAGCCTAATCCAGAATGAGACCCTAAATAACTCTCTTCAATTGTTTGAAAGCTGAAAGGGGTAAGGAAGCTGAAGAAGAAAAGTTTGAAGCTAGCACAGATTGGTTCATAAGGTTTAGGAAAAGAAGCCATCTCCATAACATAAAGGTACAAGGTGAAGCAACAAGTGCTGATGTAGAAGCTGCAGCAAGTTATTGAGAAGATCTAGCTCAGATAATGAATGACTGTGGCTACACTAAAGAGTAGATTTTCAAAGTAGAAACAACCTTATGTTGGAAGCCTTATATGCCACCTAGGACTTAAATAGCTACACAGAAGTCAATGCCTGGCTTCAAAGATTCAAAGGACAGACCAACTCTCCTATTAGGGGCTAGTGCAGCTGGTGACTTTTAGTTGAAGCCAATACTCATTGACCCTGAAAATCCTAGAGACCTTTGAATTGTGCTAAACCTACTCAGCCCAAAAAGCCTGGATGACAGCACATTATTTATGACATAGTTTACTGAATATTTTAAGCCCACACTTGAGACCTACTGCTCAGAAAAAGATTTCTTTTGAAATATTACTGCTCATTGACAACACACCTGGTCACCCAAGATCTCTGATGGAGATGTACCATGAGATTAATAGGACATTTATGCTTGATAGCACACATCCATTTTGCAGCCCGTGGATCAGAGTCATTTCTACTTTCAAGTCTTATTAAGAAATACATTTGTAAGGCTGTGGCTGCCACAGATAGTGATTCCTCTGATGAACTTGGCAAAGTAAATTGAAAACCTTCTGGAAAAGATTCATCATTCTAGATGCCATTAAGAACATTCATAATTCATGGGAAGAGGTCAACATACCAACATTAACAGGAGTTTGAAAGAAGCTGATTCCAAGCCTCATGAATGACTTACAGGAGTTAGAGACTTCAGTAAAAGAAGTAACTGCAAAAATGGTAGAAATAGTACAAGAACTAGAATTAGCAGTGGAGCCTGAAGATGTGACTGAATTGTTGCAATCTTAGGCTAAAACTTCAAAGAATAAGGAGTTGCTTCTTATGGATGAGCAAAGAAAGTGGTTTATTGAGATGAATCTGCTCCTGATGAAGATGCTATGAAGATTGTTGAAATGAAAACAAATGATTTAGAATATTACATAAGTACCATTAATGTTCTTATTATTCTTAATGGCATCTAGTTGATAAAGCAGTGGCAGAGTTTGAGAAGATTGGATCCAATTTTGAAAATTTCACTCTGTGTAATTTTAAATTTCACATACTCTGGGTAATACACCATCAAATAGCACTGTAGGCTACAGAGCAAATTTCAATGTCTTATTTTAAGAAATTGCCACAGCCACCCCAGCCTTTAGCAGCCACCACCCTGATCAGTCAGCAGCCACCAACATTGAGGTAAGAGCCTCCACCAACTAAAAGGTTATTGTTGAAAGCTCAGGTGATGGTTAGTATTTTTTTAGCAATAAAATATTTTTTAATTATGATATGTACATTGATTTTTAGACATACTCTTAATGCATACTTAATGAACTACAGCATCATATAAACATAATTTCTGTATGTGTTGGAAAACCAGAAGATTCATTTGACTCATTTTATTGCAATATTCGCTTTATTGCAGTGGTCTTCAACTGAATCCAAAATAAATCTGAGGTTTATCTTGTATTTAGAAAAAATAAAGGTGCCTTACAATGAAGAGAACTAGTAGTCAGCTGCCTTTAACAGAGCACCTGTAATGGGAGTCAAGTCTGATGTTTGTGTATCTCGTGGTGTGATGCAATAAGAAATACACATCTCTTATAATTTGATTTTTGCCTAAAGTATTTAATACTGATTCTAATGAGGAAATAGACAAATCCAGAATGTGGGACATAATATAAAATAACTGCCTGGACTCTTAAAAAAATAAAAGTCAACATCATGAAAAACAACAATAAGGCAGAGTGAATGCTTAGCATACATTAAAGAGAAAAGGTATAGCTCTTGATTAGATCTTTTTGAGAAAAAGCAATGAAGACACATTGAGGACAGGGAAATTTTGAGAGCAAACAGGAAAATGGGAACTGTATATTAGGTGATCCTGAATTAGTGTTAATTTTTTAATACTAGGTAATTATATGGTTAAGTAGAATTAGGGGGAATATCCTTGATCTCAGACAATGGATTCTTGAGTACTTAAGGGTGAACTGTTAAGATGTCTACAACTTCCTTTTAAATGATACAGGTAGAAAAAAGGGTATAAAAAGGAAAGCAAATGGGGCAAGATGGTAGTAATTGTAAGCCTGTATGAAGGATCAGGTGTTTATTCTATTTTAATTTTTCCATGGGCTTGAAATTTTTTCAAAATTCAGACTTGGAAGATTTAAAAACAGAAAAGCAATAATAGTTATTCAAATATTTATATTCCATGGGCTCTATTTTCATCTAGTCCCTTGATGAATCTATTTTATTTTTTCTGCTTTCAGGTTTTTATCAGAATTATTTTTTCTTGCAATGAAAACCATGAAAAAAATCAGACATGATTATAAAATGACTTTAATTCACACTTGCTCTTTTTTGCCTTTTTAACTTTTAATCTCGATTCAGAATCCATCTACCGCCGAGGTGCACGCCGCTGGAGAAAGCTCTATTGTGCAAATGGCCACACTTTTCAAGCCAAGCGGTTCAACAGGGTAAAATAAACCTTAGTCCGTTAAATGTTGCTAATTTAAGACATCTCTTTTTGCCCTCTCTACGATGAAGGAAATGTCATCTTGTTATTCCCTTAAAGAATTAAGTAGGGTGACCTAACTTTCCCAGTTTGCCTGGGCAGTACATGTGTTATCTTGGGGTAATTTTTTTTAATTAAAGTATCATTGATATACAATCTTATGAAGGTTTCACATGAGCAACACTGTGGCTACTACATTCACCCATATTATCAAATCTCCCACCCCCACCATACTCTACTGCAGTCACTGTCCATCCGTGTAATAAGGTGCTATGGAGTCGCTACTTGTCTTCTCTTTGCTGTACTGCCTTCCCCGTGCCTGCTCTACATTATGTGTGCTAATCATAATGCCCCTTAATCCCCTTCTTCCTCCTTCCCCACCTGCCCTCCCTATCCCCTTTCCATTTGGTAACCACTAGTATCTTGGGGTAATTTTTAATAGCATCTCCTTTCACTCTTAAAAATGTTCCAGGTGGGATGATTAATTCAATGCTTACTCTAAGAAAATTGGATTTTTTAAAATATAAATCCAGACAGCCAGAAAATAAGCAAGGTTTTTTTTTTTGCAAGCCATTTAACGTTGTAATTTTAATTTTCACTGTTTAGAAAAAAATCATTGCAAATAACATCTAGCTTTTACTATGTACCAGGCACTTTTCCAATGCTTGACATATATTGACTTATTTAGTTCGTGCAACAATCTTAGATAGTACATGTTGACATTTTTTAGATGAAAAACTGATGTGTAGGGCAGTTAAATAACTGGTCCAAGATGACACACTGAGTAAGTCACAGCCAAGGTTTGAAAGCAGTCTGTTTCCAGAAGTCCATGTTTATAACTACTTTCAATAACTACAAATTTATAGAGTCCATTTCCATTCTAAATCTAGTGCCATATTCTGAATTCATTAATGTAAATAAAAGCTGCCACCTGAGTTTCCCAACCTCTTATTCCCAGTAGCACTGAAATTTAAAAAGCTTTGAAATGGAAAGTCACTTTGGGCCTTGCTTCGTAAGAAAGCAGGGCTTTGGTTTGACCTCTGAACAGTCTTGAAGGTTTATGCTTGCTTAGGAGTCCTTTTACAGCTTTTTCTGCCATGTTTTTCAAGTTTAATTCAGTTTTCCTATTTTCATTATTCTGAACTTAATTATGTGAAGACTGAAAATTCTTGGACTTTTAACAGAAAACAACATGGTTGCAAATTTCACTGTTACTTTAAAACAAGCTCTCTTCCTTTTTATTTTTCCGTGACCATCATAGCTTTGGAAAAGTTATGTATGATGAAGGAAATTGAATTAGAGAAAAAAGCTACTTATTTTCATTATTTTATGAGCAAATTTGGGAAATGAGTATAACCTTACCTTTGTTAATTAAATACTGTTTAATTACTGTTTCAGCGTGCCCACTGTGCCATCTGCACTGACCGAATATGGGGACTTGGACGCCAGGGATATAAGTGCATCAACTGCAAACTACTGGTTCATAAGAAGTGCCACAAACTTGTCACAATTGAGTGTGGGCGGCATTCTTTGCCACCGGTAAGATATACTTGTTTGTTTTTCTTTTTTTCAATAGAGCTTTTCAAATTAAACTACTAGAACCAAGGGCTAAAATAAGGAGGTGTTAAGAAATCATATCTCAACAGTGTTGTTATAGAATGTGGGTAGGAATACTTTATATAGTCCACTTAACATACTGTGAATTTTGGAATTGTTATTACAAATTTGTAGGATATAGTTAACTTCTTTGTTACAAAATGCTTCAAAATGCTTCAGTCCAAATTAGGAAGATGATGTAGGGAGAACCTTTTAAGAGATTTTTTTTTTCTCCTCTTTAAGCTAAACTCAGTTTACAGCTCACATTATTCAAGCATCTACACTAAGCAGAGATCAGGTAAGAAAAGTCAGAGGCTTCATGTTTGCTGTTTACAGTGTGAGATTACTGATGGTTTTTGCATTTTAAAACTTTTCACTTTTTATTTAAAATATTTAATTAAAACATGTTCATTATAGAGAAAATAGAGAATACAGATGAATAAAGAAAAATTAAATAAAAATCCTCCATGAAATCTACAATGTAAGGTAATTGTCATTTTGTGTCAATCCTTTGAGGTCTTCTTCTTTGCAAATTTATATGCATAAAACATTTAAGATTTTTCTAAATGCAAAATTTTAAAACATACATATATATAACAGCAGATGAAACAGTATAATGACCTTCCATATACCAGTTACCCAGCTCCAGTAGTTATCAACTCATGCCCCTATTGTTTCATTATACCCCTATCCATTTAACCTACCCTCACCCTATATTATTTTGAAACAAATCCCAAACATATTTCAGTATGTACCTCTAAAAGATAACACCTCTTAAAAAAAATAAAAATCAAATTCCTCATATCAGATATCCATCCAAGCAATGTTCAAAATTTCACTTGTCTCATAAATTATATAATTTTATTTTTAAAATTTGCCTTATGCATCAGGATCGAAATGAAATCCTATTTGTAACTGATTGATATGTATCAGAGAAATATTTTAATTTACTGATTCCTCCATACAGCTCTTTTCCCTTACAATTTAATTGTAGAAGAGGCATATTGTCATATTGTCATTTGAAATGTTACAGAAAATTTCTCTTTGCTTCTCTATAGTTATTCTTAAAATGTTCCCATGTCTTTATTTTCTCTATATTATAGCTGGATCTAGAGGTTTGATTAGATTCTAGTTTTTGGGTTTTTTGTGGGTAATTTTTGAGACTCCTTCATAGCTCATGGACTGTTTATCCATCAGAAGGCACATACTGTTTGGCTGTGTTTTATATTTAACAAAGGTGAGATCATATATACTGTTTTCTAACTCATTTTTCTCTCTGAACAATATATTTTGGTCATCTTTCTCTATTTATAGCCTCATCATTTTTAGGATAATATTTTGTTATATATTTGTATTATAATTACTTAACCTGTTCCCCATGATTGAACATTTGGGTTGTTTTCAGAATTTTCCTATAAAGACAATCATAACGAACTTTCCAGTAAATAAACCTTATTATTTCCTTAGGATCCCAGAGTAGAATTACTGGGTCAAAGGATAAGAATTTTAAAAAGATCTGGATGCATCTTTCCAAATTGTCTTCTAGAATGATTATGCCATCATTTTTTTTTTTTTTTGAGAGGGCATCTCTCATATTTATTGATCAAATGGTTGTTAACAACAATAAAATTCTGTATAGGGGGGTCAATGCTCAATGCACAATCATTAATCCATCTCAAGCCTAATTCTCGTCAGTCTCCAATCTTCTGAAGCATAATGAACAAGTTCTTACATGGTGAACGAATTCTTACATAGTGAATAAATTCTTACATGGTGAACAGTACAAGGGCATTCATCACAGAAACTTTCGGTTTTGATCATGCATTATGACCTATAAACAATCAGGTCAAATATGAATATTCGTTTGATTTTTGTACTTGATTTATATGTTGATCCCACATTTCTCCTATTATTATTATTATTTTTATTTTTAATAAAATGCTGAAGTGGTAGGTAGATGCAAGATAAAGGTAGAAAACATAGTTTAGTGCTGTAAGAAGGCAAATGTAGATGATCAGATGATCAGGTGTGTGCCTATGGACTAAGTATTAATCCAGGCTAGACAAGGGCAGCAAAACATCCACGGATGCAGAAGATTTCTCTCAAAGCAGGGGGCGGTGAGGTTCTGAGCCTCACCTCTGTTGATCCCCAAATTCTCACCTGATGGCCCCCCTGCGACTGTGCCTGTCTTAGGTTGTTCCTCCCTTGAGGAATCTTACCTGTCTCTGTATGCCATCATTTTTTATAGTGCGTTCTTTGGACATTGTGAAAATAGGTTATTACTGGTGACTCTTTGCTATTAGACTTACTTAGCTAGTTCATATTAAGCTTAGGTATGGATTTGTGGTTAAGGTGAAAATCCAATCTTAAGGAAAAATAGAAGGCCAAAAATTGTAAACATAATTTATCCAGATTACTGTTGATACTACTGACTATTCTTAGGAGATAGAAAGACTGTGTAAGTTCATAAATATAGAAGGAAAGAGAGACAGGCTTAATAATTGTGTTGATATTTAATGCTAAATACATTGAAATATTCCCCGTAAGCCTATCTTTTACCGTAGCCTTAAAATTATAACTGTATAACCAAGGCTCCTTCTCAAGTTTACTCTTGCTGGTATTAAACTTGGGCCCAAGGTTAATGAATTAGTAACATTTTTGTTTGAATTAGCATTGTTCCTGATATTAAGTCAGTTTCTAGGAGGTATTTCTTTTCCTTTTTTGGGTCACTGCCGCCTTTGAGAATCATCAGAAATATGGGAAACCCACAAAATTTTAGGTTTATAGACTTAAAATCTAATTTGAAGTCTATCTCAGGACCTTAGCCAAAGAACTCAGATTCCAGAGACTCTTTTTGCCAAAGATTTACAGGGATTAAACAGAGCTCAAAGGAAGATAGGTTATATAGAAGAGAAACAAACCATAGTGTATAGGAGTTTAATTGGATTTCTGTTGGTGATGTGAAATTAGTTATGTTTCTTCTTTTATCTGTAAAATGTGATTAACATTACTGCAGTCACAGGCATATATAATAATGTTAAAAGTAAGTTAAATATATAATAATATATTCTCACATGATTTCACATTTAAATTTTAGTTTGCTGTGTCTCATCGAAATAATGTTGTTTCTGGATTTATAGAGGTATTGGGATTTAAAAAGAATCAACTAAGATAACTGTATCTTTGAAAATATTTGTAGGAACCAATGATGCCCATAGATCAGTCATCCATGCATTCAGAGCATGCACAGACAGGTAAGAATGATACCAGCACTAACCATTGTCAATTAACAGAGTATCATTTAAAGACTTCTTTAGGTGACTCTCTCACCCAAGTTTAAAAACATTTATGCTCTTCCCAGATAAAAGTTAGGTAACCATATTTTGTTGTAATAATACCAGTCACAGTGTTTAACATGTACATTTGGCATTTTAAAATAAGTCAGCTGTGTAAACCACAATGACTATTTTCTCTAATTAAGATGAATTTCTTTTGAGACCTCTTTAAATTTAACAAAGCTAGTTTTTTTCAATAATGAAAAATATACTGACTTTGTGGGCCATGTTGACTGTGTTCAAATGACTTTTTTTTAATTAAAAGCTTTATTATCAGCAATAGTTGTAGGAAAGAAACAGCTGCATATAGAAAATTCAGAAAAGATCATATGAGTTCAAATGTCAGGTAGATACAGAGCCTTAAATATGTATCTGAGAAATATGGAGAGCAATTAAATGGGGTAAGAGCAACCTTATCTGGGATGAATTAAAAAAGGAAAGGCAGTGGAGTTTTTCTGGAAGGACAGAATGCAGTCTTTTGTTCATGAAGAAGCTGGTTATATGAATGCAGGCTTTTATTCCCCCCCGGTAGCTTCAAGGAATAGAAGCCCAGAGTCCAGTCTTTGCCAGTTCTTTACTTGACCTATGTGGTATGGTGGTCAGGAACATTTTGTTTGAAGGAAGTGAGGAGTGAAAACCAGGACCGCTCTATCTCTATGCCTCACTCAGACTAAAATAATTAAATAGAGTTTATGGAGTCACCCTTTTATAAGGAATTGATTAATTTGTGAAAGAAGAGCAATATTTTTAAAACAAAAATGTTAGAATCAGTGCATAGCTACTGATTGTTTCTTGTTGTGTTTACTCATATTAAATAAAAATTAGGATTTAATCATTTTCATAGTTTGTTATTAGTAGGATAGGTATTCAGTTTTAAATGATGTAGATTTATTCAGAAATAAAAAAAAGAAATTTTTCAGTCAAACTCAAGTTAATGTATGCTATGTTTCTCTCTCTCTCTTTTTTTTAACATTTGGGTTTGGTTTTCAGTAATTCCATATAATCCTTCAAGTCATGAGAGTTTAGACCAAGTTGGTGAAGAAAAGGAGGTAAGATAATTAGTTTTATTGTATATTACGCTGTCAGCTTTTTAATAAGACTTGACAGCTTAAAAAATATGTCAAATTGACTTGCTTAGATTTTAGATCATAATGGTAAAATGCAGGACTGATTTTTAATGATTCTAGGGTTTTTTTATTTGATCTAGTAAATTACTGATTTCATTTAAATTAATGGGATAACTTATTTTCATTTTAAGACAGCATAATCCAAAAATTCTAATCTATTTAAGAATAGTATTTAGACTGGTAGTGTTTAAAATATATTAGGGATGCTGCTTCCATTTTATGGGCTAATTTTTAATATAAAGTATAAATGAACTATCTTTTAACTGCCACTATTTTGTTCTGTTAAACATTTTATATATTTTTAAAATAAGTTTTTAATTGAAATAACCAATTTTTTAAAAGCTTATAATGAAAAAGCTTTATCATGCCTCAAACCCTCCACCCTGCTTTGACTTCTGAGAGGTAACCCTTTCCAATAATTTCTACTTGTGTTCATAATGTTCATACCTTTGCTTTTCAGTTTACCAACTTTATTTCTGGCCATGAAAGGTTTAGTTCACACTACCTCCTCCCTTTCCCTTCTTTTTCCAGTGTTTGATAGGTGTATTATGTTTTACTTTTGGTTACCTTTTAAAAAATCTTTTTATTATGGAATATTTCAAGCATAATAAAAGTAAGTAAAAGTGAACAGACTAGTATAACTGTGTACATAACCCAGTTAAAACAATTATCAATACATGGCAAGTGTTGTTTTGTGTATCCACTTCCCCCAACTTCCCTCACTCCTGTATTATCCGTTTAATCTTAGATTCCTGTTCTATTTCATTCAATACCTTTACTTGCCACTGTTTTGACACCGCAGGTTATTTTGCTTTTTTTCCCCCTTACTTTATATAAATGTATTCACATAGTATCTATTCTTTTGTATCTGGCTTCTTTTGCTCAATATCATGTTTATGAGATTCAGCCATGTTTCATATAGTAGTATTGTACTTATTTTCACTGTTGTTTCAATTTATACTGTTGATTTTTCCCTTCTATATTGGGATTATTATGATATACTGCTATGAACATTCTTGTAACTGTTGTTTGGTGAACATATTTCTGAGTCATGTGTACATTGATCATTAGGAGATAATGCCAGATGGTTTTCCAAAGTTTCTTGTATCAAATTATACTTTAACCAACAATGTATGAGAGTTCAATTTGCTCTACATCCTTGGCAACACTTTGTATAGTCTGTCTTTAATTTTAGCCTGTCTGTTGAATTTATAGTGGTAGCTTATTATAGTTTTTTATGTGCATTTCCTTTCTACACACCTTTTCATATATTTATTGGCTGTTGGGTATCATCTTTAGTACAGTGCCTGTTTGTCTCTCTAAAACAAATAGGAGTGGTTTGCCTTTGTTGTATTGGTTTGTAGGAATTTTTGTATATTCCTACATTATTAGCCTTTTATCAATTATATATGCCAAATATATTTTCTCACTCAGTACTGATATTTTAATTCTGTTAATGGTATCTCTTGATGAACAGATGTTCTTGATTTTTAAGATAGTGAAATCCATCCATCTTTCCCTTTTTGGGTAGTACTTTTGGAACCTGTTGAAGAAATCTGTCTTTCCCAAGGCTAATGAAAATATTGAAAAGACAGTACTTTCCCTCATTACTCTGTAGAGCTATCTTTTAATCAATTATATGACCATTACATGGTCTGATTGTTATTCCTTTTTCACCTCTTTTAGCTTTCTTGAAATTTTTGCTATTCTGTTACTGATTATTCTAGAGATTTTATCTTATATCCTTAACTTAGTTAAATTCAATACAAATTATTAGTAATACTTTTACTATTTGAACATTGTAAATTCACTTACTCTCTGTTCCTGCCTTTTGTGCTATTTTTGTCATATTTTAAAGTTCTGTGTGTATGTATGCATATTAGTGTTTTTAAACAGTTCTTACTTAGGCTTATCCAAATTTTATTGTTTTTCTACATTCCTTCCTGTGTCTGCCCTTCCAGATGAGATCATCTTTTTTCTTGAAGAATTCAGTATTTCTTTTAGTGAGAGCCTACTAGTGATGGATTTCCTTAGTTTTGGTTTGTCTGAAAATGTTTTTATTTCACTTTGATTTTGAAGGCTATTTTTGCAGGATATAGAATTGTAGGTCAGCAGGATTTCTTTTTTAGGCCCTTTGAAAGTGACAGTCCACTATTTCCTGGCTTCTGTTGTTTCATTCAGTCTTATTGATTATGTGAAGGTACTGTGCTTTTGTTCTAGCTGATTCTCTTTTATAGGTTCCAGTTAACTATATATCAAGTCTGTACATGGACTTATTTCTTACCAGTCTTTGCTTTCTTAACCTGACTTATTCTGGTTCTTCTCACTCCTATTTATACTTGTTACCAAATCAGTTTGTTATTTCTAAATATTCGTGTATGATTCTTCTTTTGAATTATTGTTTTCATTAAAGTTTCATACCTTTTTCTGTTTTGTGGTTACTAGTTTCTTAAAATTTTGTCTTTGCTTTTCTTGATATCCTTCACTTCAGAAAATTCACTCTTAATTCTCATGGGTACATCTGTTACTTGTATGCAGAAGATTTTGCAGATATCTAATAAAAGATTATCTTCCCTTTTCTCTATAAATTACCTGAAGCCTAAGTTTTTAATTTTGAATGAATTACAAGGCTGGCTGTCATTCCAAAGGAAGCTGGTGTTGTATAGAAAAGAATGTTTTCCATTACCTGAACAGCCTCATGCTTGTTTTCTGCCTTAGCTTCCAAAAATGTCTCTGAATGTGTCTTCCCTTTAGCCAGGATTTCATGTATCAGATTTCTAGCACTCTTTTATCCTAGCATCCGTTGTAACTTCTACCTTCAGTTGAAAAACCAAGCTCATTATCTCGACAACTCTTATCAATTTTATCCTATGCTCACACTGTATTTTCCTATTAGTGGTACCTCCAATGTCCCAGTCACTAAAGTTAGTGTCATTTTTAAAAATTCATGTGTCTCCATTGCCTCCATACCCAAAAGCTGTCAGATCCTCTTTAACACATCCTTTAACATTTCTCAGATTTCAGTTGCCTCTTCATTCCTATCTGACATCAACTCGTATATTCATCTTACTTCTTGAGTGGTTAGATTATATCATATGGAATGCTGTAAGAAAACAATTGATAAATACTTAAATCAGAAAGCATTAAAAAACAGGTATAACTAGGTGTTAGAAATATAATGTTTTATGCAGAATACTTCCAGGAATAACTCTTTGATGTAAATCTTCTCTGTAGGCAATGAACACCAGGGAAAGTGGCAAAGCTTCATCCAGTTTAGGTCTTCAGGATTTTGATTTGCTCCGGGTTATAGGAAGAGGAAGTTATGCCAAAGTACTACTGGTGCGATTAAAAAAGACAGATCGTATTTATGCAATGAAAGTTGTGAAGAAAGAGCTTGTCAATGATGATGAGGTAAGCACAATGATATTTTATTACTTCTAAACTGTTAAATTAGCTTTAGTGTACTATTTTTAGAGAAAACCTTGTGTATGCCATATTTCATTCTACTTTTCTAAATATGCTTCAAACAGATTTTATAAGGTACATTTAATATAATCTGATGATTATTAGTTTTTTTTATAAAAATCAAATCAGTTTTGACTTTGAAGTTTTCTAGACTGTTTCATAATATTGAAGGATTTACTGGTGGTTTTTTTTCTCTTTATAACTTGTTTCAGATTATCAATGCTTTTTATACTTAATGTTTGCGTTTGTAATAATTGAATTGCTAAAAACAAACCATAGTTTTGATGTTATTTCAATATGACATTTATTTCTTTCATATTTTAAAATAGGATATTGATTGGGTACAAACAGAGAAGCATGTTTTTGAGCAGGCATCCAATCATCCTTTTCTTGTTGGGCTACATTCTTGCTTTCAGACAGAAAGCAGGTAAGATTGGAAGATAATGGAATGATTACTGGGCTTTATACATTTTGGCACATTACACAATGAAAACCCTTTCTACTATAATTTCTGAAGTTGAAGTCATGGAGATGGGTACAGCAGTATTATGCTTATAATTTCCTGTTACTCATACTCTGTTCAGTCATATCAATTTGACATTGGATCAGACTTAGGAAATTACCAACTGTAGGCAAAATAAAAAGAAGAAAATAGCCAGGTTATAATTATGGCAGTAGAAATCCCACCTTTTAATATCCCCAAGATTCTAACTTTAGAACTTAAAGTTTCCTAGAGTTCAACTAGGGAGAGAAATCCTAGCTTCTTTTTACCTTAGCTGACAGTTGAAAATGACTTATCTTGCAAATACTAAAATTGGGGTGGGAGTGAGATGCTCTGGATTGCAAGTGGTATCACTTCAGAAGTAGCAGGTTACAGATTGCTATCATGCTGGTTTATTATCTTTGTAAATCCTGTGATAAAACAGATTTTTACTCCAACTCCCCATTGTTTCCACCAAATTCCTAGAATCTTTGTTAAGGGTGAATCATACAGAATGCTCTATGCTGTGACTGGTCTCTATAGTGTTTAAAACACAAAGCTATACTGCCTTACTTTGGATCTTGGTTTCAAGTGTCTCTCCTCTGTTTTAGATTGTTCTTTGTCATAGAGTATGTAAATGGAGGAGATCTAATGTTTCATATGCAGCGACAAAGAAAACTTCCTGAAGAACATGCCAGGTAAGTTTTTATTGTTTGCTGATATTGGAACTGGCGGGGTGGGACCCTTTGTGGGACTTCCCATGTGCCAATGGTTGAACACTGTACGTATATCAATTATTCTGATCCTGGTTAGTCTTTGTAAGTCATGTAGAAGATAAGCTAAAAGTTAGTTTACATCATAATATATAACATATACACAAATTATATATTACATACGTAGTAATATAAGCAATTAAATTCTTTAAAAATAAGCAATTAAATAGTACTAAAGAAGAAATATTTAGTCTATTGAAATTAATTATTTTCAGATATTTTATCTATTCAGCATCAGCCACCTAAATAATTGACGGATTTACAAACACTTAGTAATCTTATCAGGTTTGTAGTGATTTCTGACAGTTTTTCATTAGAAGATCATTACACATATATACTTGAAAGTAATAAAAACAATTCTTCTTAAGCTATTACATGATTCAGACTGTTCTTCCTATAATTATAATTTCCGAATTGTTCTGCCTTTAGCTTCCCCCCCGATACTGTACATGTTGATGAGTAAGGGAAAAGAGTATTAAATATTGTTTATTTATTTTATTCCCTTAATTTGATATTAGTAGACAAGGTTGTAAATTGTTTATATGTTGGAGGAACTAGGTGGGAAAGGATTGTGCCATGGGTAATTAATCCATCAGTGCTGTGTTTTGTTTTTTACTCATAAGTAGCAGTAATTCTCACCCTTTTGTACCTCACAAGAGTAATATGAGTTTGTATATGTATGTGAGAAAGGTTAGAGATTTCATTTTTAAAAATAACTTATTTAGTGGAAATCTTGCTAGTTCATTGATTATTTCTTGTCAAAAAGAGATAGTATCCTTGTCAAAAAGATAATTTCATAAGAAGGTATAAATGTTGTTAACCTTAGGGCAAAACTGTTGTTTTTTAAAATTGACTGTATGTTCATTGTTTATTTAGGTTTTATCAAATGGTCATTCTTCATAGCAATGCCACAGACGATTTTTGAATTGTGAACATATTATTTGTTCCTTGTTTATTCATTTGGGCTTTGGGGAACTTGCTTAGTTTTTACTGTATTAAATCGCCTGTTCTGGTTTTAGACCATCTTTGCTTTTTCAGGAACCAAATTATAGAATCAGGGCTCAAATTCCCTGTTTATAGAATTAAGTAGCTAGAAGGTATGTATTATGTACCTCTAAACATGATTGTGATAACACTCACCAAAGTAGCCATAAACCAGCTTGCATGTCTCATTTTCATTATTCAGGTCAAAGTTCTGGGTATCACCAATGAGTTGGTGGCAGTTTTTAAAAGTTCTTTCTTTAGTATTAAATGGTATGGTTATAGAATAAATTCTTTAATTTCTTTTCCAGAATTTTGGTACACACTTTATAGTTTGAGTAGTTAACTTGTAGTATTCCTCCTGTTTTTGACCAATCAGTGGTTTCTTAGCATTTTTTGAGAGTTCTGTAGTCCCTTAGAGAAATGAGGAATTGATAGAAACTCTATAGAAGATGTACATGTACATATGTACATACATTTTGCCTCCTGTTGTAGGAATATGGACTGCCAAAGTCATACAAGGCCCACATTAAGAACCCTTGTTCAAGAATTTCGATTTAATAAACTATGATAAGTAAGAGTTTTCACTTAGACTGAAACTTTTATAATTGTATTTTGGGCTCAGATATTTTAAAGTGGTACTTTATGTTTTGGTATTCCTAAAAACACTGAGAGGAAAAATCTTTCAATATGATTTTAATGTTTTCTTTTGCAGATGGGAATAGGACTTAAATACCTTCCTATAGAAACCATAATTTAAAAATTTGAATCAAATCAGTTATTTTTCATTTTATTATTTTAGATTTTACTCTGCAGAAATCAGTCTAGCATTAAATTATCTTCATGAACGAGGAATAATTTATAGAGATTTGAAATTGGACAATGTATTGCTGGATTCTGAAGGACACATTAAACTCACTGACTACGGCATGTGTAAGGTGAGGGAAATTTCTGGTTATTCATGTCTCTGCAGTTCATAAAATTGGGTAAAATAACTTCATACATAAAGATGGGGAAGTGATTGTTACTGTGGGTTGCTTTCTTGGAATTCTAGCACAACGACAAATATTTCCCAGCCATTTATGAAATTTCATATTTTCTGTGTTATATAAGCTATAATAAGAGTTAATTTCCTTTTATGGTCATACATTTTTGTCATGAAAGTCATGACACAATTGAAGAAAATTTGGAAATAAAAATTGTCTAAATCCCATGACCTTAGCACAACTACTTACTTATCACCTAGTTTTTGCCATTTAATTGTAATTCTTAATAATGTGTTCCAAGATTTTCCTAGAAAATCTAATCATTCCTTACATATAAAATTTAAATATCTGATATAAAGTACAATAGAATGAGGAGGAGTTTTAGTCTCAGGACATCTCCTTTATTTCTTGGTGTGTTATTCCTTTTTGTGACAGTGTTTCATTTATGGGCCCTTCTTTTTCTACAAGTAGGGAGCTACTCTCCTTGTTAAAGTAGCCAGGACAGAATTATCCTCACACAGCAGTATGGCAGCAAGCATGTAAATGTGTGAACTGCATTCACTTGAGGAAAGTGTCTCCAGAGCTTGGAGATTATTAAATGCTAACATTAAATAAGCAGTCTAACAGATTGAAAATTTATACTTATTATCCGTTCAGCAGCATTAGAAAAGAAAATCTTCACCTAAATAATTTTTGCTTTTAACTACATAATTCAGACATTTATCTTTCTTGTATTAAATTTCTATTTCTTTAAGTTTTTCAGTTATGTAAATTTTTAATCATAAACAGATTTAGTAATTGAACCTGTGTACCTTTCACTCAGATTTGTGATAACTGTTTGATCTCTATGTCAATTTTTTCCTCTGAATTTTTTCTCATTTCAAAAAGACAATAAAAATAAAAGACAATAATAAAGGAGTCTTACATTTGTCAAGGGAAAAAATAAAGCTGAGCAAAAAAATTTGAAGAATATTAATTTGTTACAAAGTATACAAATTAAAACAATAGGGGACTTTCTCTGCATGCCTGATACTGGTTTTAAAATTATACTTGTCTGTTACTAGAGTTTAATGAAATGGGCATTGTCATGTCACTGGTAAGTGTATTATTTTATTATAATCTTTTGTAAAGCAGTTTGGTGGGGATGTATCAGGCATCTTAAAGATGGCTGGTCATATTCTTTGATCCAGTAATTTTTCCTCTGGGATATTCTGATGAAATATTTCAGTCTCTGAAGAAGGGATTATAAACAAAAAAAATTTTTTTTTAAATTTTGGTATCATTAATATACAATCACATGAGCAACATTGTGGTTACTAGATTCCCCCATTATCAAGTCCCCAACACATACCCCATTACCGTCACTGACGATCAGCGTAGTAAGATGCTATAGAATCACTACTTGTCTTCTCTGTGCTAAACTACCTTCCCCGTGCCCCTCCCTGCATTATGTCTGCTAATCGTAATGCCCATTTTTCCCCTTATCCCTCCTGTCCCACCCATCCTCCCCAGTCCTTTTCCCTTTAGTAACTGTTAGTCCATTTTTGGGTTCTGTGATTCTGTAGCTGTTTTGTTCCTTCAGTTCTTTCTTTGTTCTTATACTCCACATATGAGTGAAATCATTTGATACTTGTCTTTCTCCGCCTGGCTTATTTCACTGAGCGTAATACCCTCTAGCTCCATCCATGTTGTTGCAAATGGTAGGATTTGTTTTCTTCTTATGGCTAAATAATATTCCATTGTGTATATGTACCACATCTTCTTTATCCATTCATCTACTGATGGACACTTAGGTTGCTTCCATTTCTTGGCTATTGTAAATAGTGCTGCAATAAACATAGGGGTGCATATGTCTTTTTGAAACTGGGATCCTGCATTGTTAGGGTAAATTCCTAGGAGTGGAAATCCCAGTTCAAATGATATTTCTATTTTTAGTTTTTTGAGGAACCTCTGTATGCCTTCCACAATGGTTGAACTATTTTACATTCCCACCAGCTGTATAGGAAGGTTCCGCTTTCTCTGCACCCTCGCCAGCATTTGTTGTTCCTAGTCTTTTCTATGTTGGCCATCCTAACTGGTGTGAAGTGATATCTCATTGTGGTTTTAATTTGCATTTCCCTGATAATTAACCATGTGGAGCATCTTTTCATGTGCCTGTTGGCCATCTGAATTTCTTCTTTGGAGAATTGTCTGTTCATATCCTCTGCCAATTTTTCAATAGGGTTATTTGCTTTTTGGGTGTTGAAGTGTGTGAGTTCTTTATATATTTTGGATGTTAACCTCTTGTCAGATATGTCATGACAAATATATTCTCCCATACTGTAGGATGCCTTTTTGTTCTGCTGATGGTGTCCTTTGCTGTACAGAGCTTTTTAGCATTATGTAGTCCCATTTGTTCATTTTTGCTTATGTATCCCTTGCCTGAGGAGATGTGTTCAGGAAAAAGTTGCTCGTGTTTATATTCAGGAGGTTTTTTGCCTATCTTGTCTTCTAAGAGTTTTATGGTTTCATGACTTACATTCATGTCTTTGATCCATTTTGAGTTTACTTTTGTGTATGGAGTTAGACAATAATCCAGTTTCATTTACTTGCATGTAGCTGTCCAGTTTTGCCAATACCAGCTCTTGAAGAGGCTGTCATTTCTCCATTATATATCCATGTCTCCTTTATTGTATATTAATTGACCATATGTATTTGAGTTTATATATGGGCTCTCTAGTCTGTTCCATTGGTCTGTGGGTCTGTTCTTGTGCCAATATCAAATTGTCTTGATTACTGTGGCTTTGTAGTAGAGCTTGAAGTCAGGGATTGTAATCCCACCCGCTTTATTCTTCCTTCTCAGGATTGCTTTCGCTATTTGGGATCTTTTCTGGTTCCATATGGATTTTAGAACTATTTGCTCTAGTTCCTTGAAGAATGCTGAAGATATTTTGATAGGGAATACATTGAATCTGTAGACTGCTTTAGGTAGGATGGCCATTTTGACAATACTCTTCCTATCCGTGAGCATGGGATGTGTTTCCATTTATTGGTATCTTCTTTAATTTCTCTCATGTGTGTCTTGTAGTTTTCAGAGTATAGGTCTTTCACTTCCTTGGTTAGGTTTATTCCTAGGTATTTTATTCTTTCTGATGCAATTGTGAATGGAATTGTTTTCCTGATTTCTCTTTCTGATGGTTCATCATTAAAATATAGGACTGCAACAGATTTCTGTGTATTAATTTTGTATCCTGCAACTTTGCTGAATTCAGATATTAGTTCTAGTAGTTTTGGGGTGGATTCTTTAGCATTTTTTAGGTACAGTATCATGTCATCTGCAAACAGGGACAGTTTAACTTCTTCCTTGCCAATCTGGATGCCTTTTATTTCTTTGTGTTGTCTGATTGCTGAGGCAAGACCTCCAGAAGTATATTGAATAAAAATGGGGAGAGTGGGCTTCCTTGTCTTGTTCCCAATCTTAAAGGAAAAGCTTTCAGCTTCTTGCTGTTAAGTATAATGTTGACTGTGGGTTTGTCATATATGGCCTTTATTATGTTGAGGTACTTGCCCTCAATAACCATTTTGTTGAGAGTTTTTATCATGAATGGATGTTGAATTTTGTCAAATGCTTTTTCAGCATCTATGGAAATAATCATGTGGTTTTTGTCCTTTTTGTTGATGTGGTGGATGATGTTGATGGATTTTCTAATGTTGTATCATCCTCGCATCCCTGCAATAAATCCTACTTGATCATAATGTATGATCTTTTTGATGTATTTTTGAATTTGGTTTGCTAATAATTTGTTGAGTATTTTTGCATCTGTGTTCAGGGATATTGGTCTGTAATTTTCTTTTTTTGTGGTGTCTTTGCCTGGTTTTGGTATTAGAGTTCTGCTGGCCTCGTTAAATGAGTTTGGGATATTGCCTCCTCTTCTGCTCTTTGGAAAACTGTAAGGAGGGATGGGCATTAGGTCTTCACTAAATGTTTGATAAAGTTCAGCAGTGAAACCAGCTGGTACAGGGGTTTTGTTCTTAGGTAGTTTTTTGATTACCAATTCACTTTCCTTGCTGGTAATTGGTCTATTCAGATTTTCTGTTTCTTCCTGGGTCTGCCTTGGAAGGTTGTATTTTTGTCAAAAGTTGTCCATTTCTTCTAGGTTAGCATATAATTTTTCATAGTATTGTCTAATAATTCTTTGTATTTCTGTGTTGTCCATAGTGATTTTTCCTTTATTTATGATTCTGTTTATCTGTGTAGACTCTTTTTTTCTTGATAAGTCTGGCTATAGGCTTATCTATTTTGTTGATTTTCTTGAAGAACCAGCTCCTGCTTCCATTGATTCTTACTATTGTTTTAGTCTTCTTGATTTTATTTATTTCTGCTCTAATGTTTATTATGTCCCTCCTTCTCCTGACTTTTGGCCTCATTTGTTCTTCTTTTTCTAGTTTTGTTAAGTGTGAATTTAGACTGTTCATATGGAATTGTTCTTCTTTGCTGAGGTAGGTCTGTATTGCAGTATACTTCCTTCTTAGCACAGCCTTTGCTGCTTCCCACAGATTTTTGTGGTGTTGAATAATTGTTGTCATTTATCTCCATATATTGCCTGATCTCTGTTTTTATTTGGTCATTGATCTGTTGATTATTTAGGGGCATGTTATTAAGCCTGCATGCGTTTGTGGACCTTTTCATCTTTTTTGTGTAATGTATTTCTAGGTTCATATCTTTGTTGTCTGAGAAGCTAGTTGGTACAATTTCAATCTTTTTTAATTTACTGAGGCTCTTTCTCTGGCCTAGTATGTAATCTATTCTTGAAAATGTTCCATGTGCACTTAAGAAGAATGTGTATCCTGTTGCTTTTGGATGGAGTGTTCTGTAGATGTCCGTTAAGTCTATCTGTTCTAATAAGTTGTTCAGTGCCTCTGTCTCCTTACTTATTTTCTGTCTAACTGATCTGTCTTTTAGAGTGAGTAGTGTGTTGAAGTCTCCTAAAATGAATGCATTGCATTCTATTTCCTCTTTTAATTCTGTTAGTATTTGTTTTACATATGCAACTGATCCTGTGTTGGGTGCATAGATATTTATAATATATCCAAAATGATTTATTGTGGTTTATGATGAATGTTATGAATATAAATGTTAATCTACATTTACAACAATGTAAAATGCTCCTAATACATTGTTAAAGTTTGAAGGTGTAAAATTGTGTAATTCTGTATGTTTTATTATGTATCCTGTTATGTATTACATAGCATCACGCATTCTGTTCATTTTTATAATTTTTTTAAGTTATAATGGTTATGCATTACTTAAACAATGGAAGTCACAAAAAGGACATGTCTATTTCTTTCTGTCTCTTTTTATTAAAAGATAGTGGGGAATCCTGTTTTTCTTGCAGGTTGTTAGAGAAAAAATACATAACCTTTTGTTATTCTCAGTGAAAAATAACATTGGTTTTTATGCATTCTCATTCTTTCTGGAGATCCTCAATTAATCAGGATCTGTGATAAATCTTAGAAGTCTTACTTAATAGTTCTTTAAATTGGTGGTTCTGCCAACCTCTGTTTCTGCCTTTCTTCCTCCAGGACCTGGTTGGTTTGATTAGTAGGGAAATTATGAGGATTGGAACTTATGTTCAAATACTTTGCTGGCAGTACTTTACCTTTTCTCTCACTAACAAATTTACACCCTTCTGATTTGAAAGCTGAGTGAGTCCTCTGGAAAAGTTCTTATGACTTAGAGTCAGTTTTTAAACTTACCTAAAGTCTGACCTGGTAGGAATACTGGATGAATTTCTTTTCCTTTAACAATTCCTTGGAAATTTAAAACACTGAAAAATTTTTTCATAGTTCCTCCAGAAATTCTTCTTTTAGATTTAATTAATTTCTTTAGTTTCTCAGTAGATGATTTTACATAAAGAGTACAGAGGATAGTGATAACTGGCGGCACATGAAAACTTGAATTAATATTTTCAGACTTATGTTTGATATATTATATGAGCATTGATTTTTGTTGACTGAAATAAATTACTTATAAATAAATTATAAATACAAATTATTTATAGCCATTTTATAAATTGATTTGTCTTTAACTCTATTTTTTCATTACCAGGAAATTTTCATAATAACATCTTATGTTATGTTATAGATAATTTAGCTGATGGGCCTATGTTTAGATATTCAGTCAACAAGTGAATGATTTAGCATAGCTCTGTTACAGGTTAACAGACTGCATTCCTTGCTTCTAACTTTTGCCCTGAAAGTGCATGTCATTTATCATGAGACTATGTCAAACCATAGCTAATCATATAAAACAACTTACATCCCATTCGTATTTTTCTGGATACAAAAATTGCATATCCTTATTAGGTATCATAAAAATGCTTGGAATCACAAGATATTACTTAGTATTTCTTCTAGATGTTTATAGCAGTGTTATCTATAACATAGTAAAAAGGGAAAGAAAAATGCATGCACCATGCCCAGAATATCTCTAGGGGCACATAAAATCTTTTTAATGGTGGTTCCCGCTAGGGAGCTGGAACTGGGTGTGTCAGGACAGGAGTGGGAAGAAGCCTTTGTTTTCAATGTACAGTTGGCCCTTGAACAGTGTGGTTTGAACTGCGTAGGTTCATTTACAACATAGATTTTTTTTCAGTAAGTACAGTACAGCACTATAAAATGTATTTTTTCTTTCTTAGGATTTTCTTAACATTTCTTCAGCTTCATTGTAAGAATATAGATATATATACCATACAGAGTATGTTAATTGACTGTGTTATCAGTATGGCTTCTAGTCAACAGAAGGCTTTAAGTTTTTGGGGAGTCATACTTACATGTGGGTTTTCAACTGTGTCAGGGAACCAGTGGCCCATAACCCCCATTCTGTTCAAGGGTCAATTCTATATCTCCCCTCCTTTTTTTCTTTGGAAATTTATATAATATGTAATGATAAGGAAATGATTAAATTCTAGACACATGCATTCAACTGAATTCTATATAGTCATTAATAAGAGGAAGTCTGTAACCACATAGGGAATTACATGCTCATAAAGTAAAAAAAAGCAGGTGTTTAATTATATATTTAATATTCCTCTGTTTTTAGGCTATCTTTTTATTGTTGACTTCTTATTTAATTGCCTTGTGGACAGGATGCTATTGGTTCATTGAAATATATTAAGATTTCCTTTATTTGTATAGTATTTGGTTAGTTTCCCACAAGTTCTTAAAAAAGGACTTATAACCCCTGGTTTTTCATGCAAGGAATCTCTCTTTGACACATTCTGCCTCCTCCCTTTCTCCACACAAGAACGTAGATTATATATATTCTCTATGTGTATATATTATATATTTTTTTAGTTCTAGCTTTTGTCTGTATCTTTTTCTGCTTACTAATTTTTTTGTCAGTATGATCTATCATTTTCTGATATAGATATATTAATATCACCTGTTATCATTATCAGTTCAGGCTTTTATAACAAGATACTGTAGACTAGCTGATTTAAAACATTTCTCATGATTCTGGAGGCTGGAAGAAGTCCACAATTAAAGTGTCAGCGGTTCCCATGTCTGGTGAAGGTACTCTTTGATTTGCAAATGTCTGACTTCTCGTTGTATGGCTCAGCAGATGTAAACATGGCTCTCTTCACATGGGGGCCAGCTTCTTTCTCTTCTTAGAAGGACACTAATCCCACCATTGGGGCTCCAACCTCATGACCTGATTACCTCCCAAAGGCCCCATCTCCAAATACTATTAAGTTAGGGCTTCAACATAAGAATTTGGGAGGCACACAAATGTTCAGTCCATAGTGGGGATTGTTCTTCCCATTCAGGGAAGTTCTCCTAAAAATTGTCTGTTTTTATTCTTTATAATTTGATGCTGTATTGTTTGGTGCGTAAAGTTTGTTATAACTTCTTTGTGATTGCTCCATTTGTTATTATGTAGTTTCTCTACACATATTAGGGCATTTTGCCTTAATTTCTCCATCCTATAGCTATTAAAATACAAAACCAAACTTGAACCTTAGGAAGAACAACCAGAAGGGAAACATCATTGCTGAGCAGTGGCTGCCTTAGGAGGTGGTATTTAAAGTGCTCTTTTTTCATAAATTACTCATTTACTCATGTAATTTAAATTTTTGTATAAAATTTTGTATCAAAACATAAAGATGTTCCTTCAGACTGTGTATCACAGAGATTAGAGGAAGGAATCATGTCACTAGAAAGTCTTTTCACATAGACCCCAAGGCTGAGTTCCTAAGTCCAAGAACAATACGGGGAAAACAATTTCCTTAATTGACATGATTCTTTACCAACATCCCATAAGGACAGATCTTTAAGCTATTTAGTGATAATCCATAATTTTAATAATAAAGGCAGCTGTGCTAGTAATATTTTATTTCAGCTTAATATATTACCTACAGACGCTGAATTTATATGATGGATGAAACAAAAGATATGAATTTGAAACAATTTTGGATCTTAGTATTTCTCTCTCTTTTTTTTTTTTTTAATAAAAGGAAGGATTACGACCAGGAGATACAACCAGCACTTTCTGTGGTACTCCCAATTACATCGCTCCTGAAATTTTAAGAGGAGAAGATTATGGTAATAAACAGATGGTATTTTAGCTATGTGCCAGAAGGGTGGTTAAATGTATTACCAGTTGGATTACAGGACACTATAGCGTTTCAGTACTAGTCTTATTAATATAAACATTCTTGGTCCCCTTAAAACCCATATGAAAACCCCAGACTCAGAAATCAGAGACATTATAACCTTGGCAGGATTTGGGAGTACAGATTTGAATAGTGTCTTATTAGTGGTAAGCACTAAAGATTACTAGGCACTATTCTAAGTAGCTTTCATATATTAACTAAATAAATCCTCTCAATCCTAGGGGGTAAGCATTGTTAATTCGCATTTGACAGATGAGGAAACTGATGTACAGAAAGTTTACATAACTTGCCGCAAGGTCATACAGCTAGAAAGTGTCAGATTAGGGAATTAAACCTCAGCCATGTGCCTTGAGTCATGAACCTCTGGAAGATTATTCAGATGTCCTTGGATATTTCCCCCAGGAAATACTGCCTTTCAGGAACCAGGGGTTCCTTATTTATCCTAAGAAAACATTTGACTCCTTGGGTTCTGGCCCTTTGAGTTCAGCAAATGTAAAGGAGGGTGGCTACTTCTGACAGCTGCTCATAATCTGATTCCAAAGTCCTTCAAGAATCTTTAGTCAGGTAGCAGAAGATCAGGTTTCAGACCAAGGAAGTTTATTCTCAAATACAATTTAAGCATTTCCTCAAAACAAAATATTAGATACAGGCCAGTGGTCTGAAATTATAGACATATTTTGGAAAAGAAACTTATGTTTCATTTCCTTTAATTTATTTTGAAAGTTGTATTTTAGGTATCTCACCTTGTTGATAAGTGAAATATTCCTGTAGTCCTCAGTACCACCCATGATAGTTATAATGCATTTAGAGTTTACTTTTTCATTATATTTACTTTTCCATTCTGTAATAAAATGAATCTCAAACTACTGACTTAAGAATGCAGAATGGGTAACATATGGCTTTAAAATTTCTTTTTCAAAGGTTTCAGTGTTGACTGGTGGGCTCTTGGAGTGCTGATGTTTGAGATGATGGCAGGAAGGTCTCCATTTGATATTGTTGGGAGCTCTGATAACCCTGATCAAAACACAGAGGACTATCTCTTCCAAGGTAATTTGCAATATCTGACAGAGATTCTCTGAATAACCTATTCTAGGTCGTGAATGAAGACAGCTCAAATTACTACTTTGAGTAAGAAAGAGAAGCATAATCTGGACAATATACTCCCTAATATGTAGAGCTTTGATTTTTTTTTTTTTGCTATGTCCTTCCTACCTCTCTAATCTTCAGTCCCATTTGCCAGGTACCTTCTCCAACTCTAAACATGAAGATGTTCCTTCAGACTGTGTATCACAGAGATTAGAGGAAGGAATCATGTGACTAGAAAGGAATCATTTGATTAGAGGAAGGAATCATGTGACTAGAAAGTCTTTTCACATAGATCCCAAGGCTGAGTTCGTAAGTCCAAGAACAATACGGGGGAAAAGTAGAGTACCAAGAAAATAAGGGGGATAAAAAGGTGAGAATAAAAAATACCCACAATTGGGAATACAAAAAATTGAATAGAAACAGGAGAGAAGCACAGGCACCTCCCCCCCAACCCCCACACACTGTCCAAAGAAGTCTGAAGGCTGACATAGAATTCTACATTTACTAATTAAGGTCATTACAAGAAATGAATAAACAGTTCCTGTGCTGGAAATCCAATTGACTGTGAAATATATGGAAAGAGTTCAGCTGCACTGAGTTCAACTGCACTATCTCTATTATTTAGTGGTATGCACTTTAAAACATTAATGGACTAATACTTCATACCTATACATTTGGTAGAAATTTTAAAGTCTGAAAATACCCAGTGCTGGTGAGGATACAGAGCAACTGGAACTCTCATATAGACTGTTGTGGGAGTGAAAAATTGACATAACAGCTTGGAGAATAATTTGGCGATGTTCACTAAAAGTGAATACAGTGAATGTGCCATGCATTTTACAGATATTAACTCATTTAATCCTCATAGCAACCCTGTGAAGCAGGTATTATTTTTATTCCAATTTTATAGATAAGGAAACTAAGGTACAATAGGGTAGCCAAAGAAAAATAAAAATATGCTTGTAAATTAATTATGACTGTACAGATTAGACACTATCTGAGAGAAGGAAGGAGAGAAATAGGATGGGGAAAGGACATGAGATGTTTAAATAGTATAAGTAATGTCTTATTTTTTTCTGCTAGAATGTCTTAAATATCTCATAATAAGAACTTAAAGATTAAAGCTATGTGAAAGTTAAATGTAATCCCATAAATTTTATTTTTCTAGTTATTTTGGAAAAACAAATTCGCATACCACGTTCTCTGTCTGTAAAAGCTGCAAGTGTCCTGAAGAGTTTTCTCAACAAGGTATAAATTGTGTATAAAAGCCTTTATTATTTTATCTCTATTTAAATTAAACTGGTAAGTAAAGGTTCAGATAACATAAAATTGCAAAACATCAGAGTACATAATTTTTTCTTTTAGGTCCAGAATTTGTCTCTTCACCAAAAACTAATGTGACAGCATTAAATTCTAACAGGAGTTGTCCTTTCTGTTTTGCCAATATAATTTACCCCTTAGCTATTTATTACATATGGTGTTTTTCTAAATTATGATAACACCGTGTACTCAATTAGGGGAAAATTACATCTATGAGGATAGCCTCAATTGTACTTTTAGCTTTATTTTTCAGTTTTCCTTGGGTTATTATTCACAGTATCTCTTTACTTAGTGCTTGAGGCCATAATGTTCCCTACAAATTTTCATGTCAGAAAGCCTGAATTAGAAAAAATTTAGAAGAAATTAAATGCTGTCAATGTCTCTTAAAAAATCTGAACTCCATTTGATTGTTGTCATTGGTATGCTAGAAGAGTTTTAGAATCTAAGATTATGATCCTGAACTATTTTTACTCATAATACTTTCAACGCCAAAGGTATAGGCTTTTTCCACACCAACAACCATTCTCCCAGCTCCTTAGACACCAACAGGGTGTCGTACAATACACTTCATTTCTGACACTACGTGGAGTTATTATCAGACTCCACAGGTTTAAGGGCCCAGTCCCCCAAGTCTGCCCTCACTTCACATACCAGGCACAATATTGAGTACCCACACTTCTGTCTGACTCGGCCACAAAGTTGGGTGTTCCCACAATCCCCACTTCCTCACCCCTGGCCACTTCAGGTTCAGTAATTTGTTAGAACCACTCATAGAACTCAGGAAAACACTACTTAACTATCACAGGTTTATGATAAAGAATGCAGGTGAACATCCAGATGAAGAGGTACATAGGGTGAGATCCAGGAGGGTCCTGAGCACAGGAGCTTCTGTCCCTATGGAGTTGGGGTTTGTCACCCTCCCAGCACAGGGGGGATGTGTTCACCAACACAGTTCTCAGAACCCCATGGTTTAGAGATTTTTATGTAGGTTCCATACATAGGCACAATTGATTAAGTCATTGGCCAGTGGTGATTGAACTCAATTTCTAGCCCCTGTGGAAATGGGGCTGAAAGTTCCATCACTTTAATCGTATAATTGGTTCCTTTGGCAGCCAGACACCATCCTGAAGGTATCTTGAGCTTCACCCAGAGTCACCTTATTAGCATAAACTGAGGTATGATTGAAAGGGACTTGTTATGAATAACAAAAGACACTTCTCCTAGGACATTACAGGGTTTTAGAAGCTGTATGTTAGGAAGCTGGAACAAAGACCAAATATATACTTCTTATTGTATCACAATAATCATGGCAATCATAAATCTTATTTTAAATTAACAGTAAGTTAGAAAGTAGGTTGATGTACATTATTTGCCTTCTAAGGTAAATCAGAAGATAATGATTAATTTTAACAAAATAAGAAATTGAAGCATGCTTTAAAGGAATACTTTATGTGAGGAAAGATTTAAACTAGAAACTAAGTTTTAACACAGTAAAAAATGAAGTTGAGGTGCTAATATGTAAAATAAAGTGCCTTCTATTGGGAATATGTCTCATTCATAGTAATAAATAAGCGAAGACTCTTGTAAGATGCAGGCACCTCAGTCCACTGATTGAGACAACAGCAGGATTGTGGCTGCACACAGGTTATGGTTTGTCACTGTAATGGAGCATAGGGCTTTTAAATTGAGCTGGGGACAAACTTCTGAAGTTTGGAATTGGCTGTCACTCTAACCCATTCCAAAGGAATAAGTGGATGGTACTCAAATGACTCTCCTGTTCTCTTTTTTCTATTTTTTTTTAGCAAAGAGTAATGACACACAACCACTGTAACAGAATAGCTGCAGAGAAAGCCATGAGGAAATCTTGTCACACCTTCAGATACTCATTTGAGTCTAGTGTACTTTTTAGAAACAAAAGGTAGACTGTTCTGATTTCAGATATAGAGTTATATAATAGACATGAAACACAGGTCACAAAGATGACTTATTCTAAAGCATGATGTTTACCCAGTTCTTAAAACATTTCTTTCCACCATAGGACCCAAAGGAACGATTGGGTTGTCATCCTCAAACAGGATTTGCTGATATTCAGGGACACCCATTCTTCCGAAATGTTGATTGGGATATGGTATGTAGATTTTGATTGTTTTCTATATTAGATTTCATTACTATCTTGAGCCAAATTTCACTATCTTAAAAGAATGTTGAAAAACTAATATATCACAGCTTAAATAACTTAAACCACTCTCTAAACTGTCTTTTTAAAAAGCTTTTAAAATAAAAGCTTAGAATATTAATTTAATGGAATAGTTACTAACTCCTGCATCAACATTCAGTGTTTTAAATACTTCCATCATTGTGAATATTATCGAGCCATGCCTAAGACTCATCTTAATAAGACTGGGATACATCTGAGGGCAGAGGAGAAAAGGAGGGTGGAATTTTTCTGAGGATGCAGGCTTGAGCTGTCATCAAATATGTCTTCCTAGATGGAGCAAAAGCAGGTGGTGCCTCCCTTTAAACCAAATATTTCTGGGGAATTTGGTTTGGACAACTTTGATTCTCAGTTTACTAATGAACCTGTCCAGCTCACTCCAGACGATGAGTAAGTAATTCTATAGACTGAAATATTTATAAAGTTCTTTGAAAATTCCATTTTTAGTGGCTCCACAATGTTTCATTATCAAATTATAATTTGTCTAACCATTCAGTTATGGGATATTTGAATCTGTTATACTAATAACTGCCTTTTCTACTTTGCTTTACGTGCATTATCTCTAGTTCTCAAAACAACTGCTTAATCTAGTTACTGACATCTTCATTTTACAGATGAGGAAACCAAGCCTCAGTGAAGTTAAGCACAGGTGCACAGCTATCAGGTGGCAGAGCCAGCATTCACACCCAAATCTGACTAAGGCCTGTGCTGTTTCCACTGCACTGTAGTGTTTTCTCGTTGTGACAATAACCATCTTTGTCAGAGTTCTTGAGTGTTAGTTACCTTAAGGTAGATACCTAGGAAGGGAATGAGGTCAAATGGCATGACATTTTTAGACCTCTTGATATGTATTGCCAAATTGCTTTTTAAAAAGATTCCATCAATTTAGCAAGTCCAGCCAGCAGTGATCTGCCACATTTTTTGTGTTTATGCTAGGTCTTTTAGAAATATGGTTTAGAGTAATTTGGGAATAGTTCATCATTTACCTGTCAGTACACATTCACTCTTTCGTCTCCAGGAAGCCCTCACTGTTTGGCATTTTACTTACATCTTGCTGATTCTTACCACATTCCTCACAGCAGATGCTCCAGACTCTACATTTTAGAAGCCTCCCATCCTACCCCTGCCTCCGTCACTCCTAGTGGATTAACCTTGCCTTAACTTGACTACAAGGACTGAGCCTCCCTGGTGTGAGCTTGCTACTTTCCAGCTCTCACTGGACCAGCTTGAGTCTCAGAATTGCTCTCTGATACTTCTCAACTCTCTTCTTCTGCCCTATTCTTGGAAGCCTATCCCTCTTTTGCAAGGGATGCCCTCCTATTTTCCTAGACCGGCTTCCTTAGTTTCTACCAGGTTTCATTTTACTGGTTATCTCCACTACTCCACCTTCTTCAATTTCTCTTCCAGCTTCTTTCCCTGTTTATAAATATGTTCAGATACCCTATTTTTTTCCTCTGAGTCTTAGCACTTCTTTGAACCACCACATTTTTTTCTCACTTTCTTTTCATCTACATGTTTTTTCAAAAGCAGTTAATAGATTCTCCTAAAAGGAAATATAAATAAGCAGTATTTCTATCAAATTCCTTCAGAGTCATCAACATTGATTGTCATGCACTTTCTTGATACCAACACTTTAACTGCTTGTAATTTGCCTGCTTCTTCAGCTTTTAAAAGTTGAATTAGCTTCTTAATTTCTAAATTTTAAAGCATTTTTGACCAGTCCCCATGTTCCTTCATGTCGGCATGCCCATCCTATTCTACTTCATCTCTGTGACAACTTGTCATCTTTTTTTCACTGTCCCCTTGAGATTAGGATGCCCCACAGTCCTGTTTGTGGCAGCCTTCTCTTTGCTATGCAGTTTTGGAGATTGCAGCCAGCCCCATAGCGTGGATACAAGCTATTTAAATGACTCCCTGCTAAACTGGCAAACAATTAGCAAAAAGCACTATGCTAAGTACTGGACTTCAAAGACAATCAAGATACAGGCCAATCTCACAAGAAGCCTACTGTCTACTAGAGGGGAGAGAGGTGTACCAAAATCATTCTGACTGCATCGTGTATTAGAAAGAACACTGGATTTAATCAAAAGATAAGAATTTGAATCCCAACACCACCTCTTATCAGCTGGGTAACCTGGATGTGAACTGCATGATGTCTCTGAACCTGTTTCTCCTTGTGTTGCCTGCCTCACAAGGCTGCTGTGAAGAACAAATGAGCCATGGTTTCCAGGACACGTGGCTCCCTCGCTGATCTCTTTCCTGAGCTGCCTGCTTCTTTAAACACATCCCTAGTTTGTCATACAAGTACCTTGAGGATACGAAGTGTGAAATCAAAGAAGTGCCCTTTATGGTCTCTTTTTCTGTTGTTCTCAGTCAGTTCCTTGTTTTTATTTACCTTCTCTGTTCATTGTACCACCATGCATTCCTGCATTCAGATTGAAAATGTCAGTGATTGTTGACTCCTCCTTTTCCATAACAAACTAATATATTCAGTAACAAACAAAATAATATTCAGCTGCCAAGTCTGTTTTCCCTTCACTTCATCACTTGTGTCAGCTCCTTTGTTTCCATCCCCATTCCCATCAGCGCAGTTCAGATCTCTTTCAAATCATAGCTAGACTATCACACCACCCTCCTAATCGGGCTCCTTCTTTACTCTGTAACGCATTCTGTACAGCTCATCAAGATTCCTTAACTCACATAATTAGAAACCTTCGCAACTCCTACACTGCCAAGCAGATAAAATCTATATCCTCTTGGCTGACAGTTAAGGCCTCATGGCGTCTGGTCCAGCCTGGCTTTCTAGCCATCTCTCTCCCTATCCTCTAACACAAACGCTGTGTTCTGATTGATCTCAGTATTCCCTCATAGTGCTGCTACTTCACGCATGCCGTTTCCTCTATATTCCTCCTTCGTTTTTATCTATTGAAATCTTCCCCAACTTTCAATGCAACCAGACCTCTACTCCATAGTGTAAACATCACAGGCTTCTTTTGAGTTAGCCATTACCTTCCTTCTAGCATCTTCTTCCACTTAACACGCTTCTATTCCTGTGCTTCAACTCCATTATGAACTTACATTTTGCCAGACCTACCATAATCTTTCATAATTTCATTCAGTCAGTGTTTGCAGACTGAATGCTGCCTTTCTTGATTTCTCCAACTAGAAATCACCCTTTTCTTTAAAACTGGTTAGCGCAGTACTGAGCTGGTCCCATATGAAATCTAGCAGGTAATGCTCTATATAGCTTTCAGTTAAACGAGGTACCTCTCTCCTTGAGAAGGGACTATATCCTGTGTAACTTTGTGCTCTGCATTATGGTGCGTACATTTTAAGTGTTAGAATATTCAATAGTACTACTCCCTCTTACTGTATATTACACACTGGAAGCCCAGCGTAGCAGAATGCCAGCCTCCGCACTTCCTGTGACCCGTTGCCTCCCGGTGGTGGTATTCCCTTACTCCAGCCCCCTCAGTGTGCTTGGCCTTACTGCTTTCCCTTTTGGTTAACGTCCTCTGGGCTTTCTCTTCACCATCTTCTATTTGGCTGCTGAGGTGACCACTAAATTGAATGCTAATTCAGACCTGGATATTTACCTACAAATATAAATATTGTTCAGGTCAAAAGTTAAGATTAACTAGAATTGTGACAACTTGTGCCTTTTTTATTTCCAGTCTTCAATTTTGGACTACTTTTTGGTTCTAAACTTGCTTTGTGGGGTTGTTAGTCTTTTTTTATTTTCAGTACTCTTGATTCTTCTAGAAAATGTTTTTGGATTAATCTAAAAACTTATCAATTTTTCCCTATGATTTATGTAAATTAGGCTTGCTTTTTGTTTTTAATCTTTTACCACTTAAATAAAAACATGAAATCTTATGAAAATTAATCTTTTTCTTCTAACAGTGACATTGTGAGGAAGATCGATCAGTCTGAATTTGAAGGTTTTGAGTATATCAATCCTCTTTTGATGTCTGCAGAAGAATGTGTCTGAGCCCATTTCTCAACTCTGCAGTTTGCTTGTGTTGCCATCTAATGCATGAATAAACATGTTATTAGCCTGGATGCAACGAACCATTTTGTATTTTTCACCTACATAAAAGCACTCAATATCTGCTATTCTTAGCTATAAGAGTCAATTATTACATTTAACTATGAAAAAAATGAAATTAGTGTCCAGTCATGTCAAAATTTAGTTGTACTGGTAATCCAACAGTTTACTGATGAATAATGAGGTTGTCTGTTTTGTTTAAAGGAAATACTTAGCACTGCTTTTAAACAGAGTATCTGTTGCATTAAGGCACATTGTGGGATTACATCATAAGCCTCCTGTGATTGTTGTCACTCCTCTTTAAGTCATTTAAGTGATAATTTTGGAATAAAAGAGTAATTCAAAATATAGCAACCTTTTATATTTCCTATTGCTTTCTGACTTCTTTGTGTTTAAGATTCAGCTATTTAGCTATAAATTTTATAATTGCCCTGGATAATTAAATTATTGATTTTTAAGACAACAGTTATTAAATTGGTAATAAAAAATATTACTTGCTTAGAATTTGGGAATACAGATTCTCCTTGAGGAAAAAAGTAGGCACATTTTATTAAGAATCAGATTCCAAATCATTAGCTGATACAAGTGATTTCTTTAGCATTATTAAGGGTTAGCATCTAAGCTTGTCTTTTTAGCTAACACTTTAACTGTGCTGGTAGTAGGTGTAGTTCAAAGGACCCAGGCTACAGTTGAATAGAACATTTCTCAGTATATTGGAAGGTAAAAAGAGAAATTTAAAATAGGTATAAAAAAAGCAATGATATCATTTATTTCTTATTGGAGAGTAAATCCTACTGTTGCTTTTGGTGGTTTGATTTAAATAATAAGGAAGTGTTCACTTGCTACCAAACTTGTAAAAGCATTCCATTATCCAGTGAAGAGAGAATGTATACTAATTTTTCCTTATAATTTAGTGTCTTGATTTTACTCGTTTCTTCCCCAGAACCACATTATCCATACTTTTCTGGACCTTGTTTCTGTAGTCTTCAGTGAAATCCAAGAAAAATAATAAACATGAATAAATGTTCAGGACAAGCACATTCAATCCCATACTTCACAATTCCAGCTCCTTATATTAGCTTTTGTTAAGAAGGTAACAATCAGGGGCAGAGTTCTTCGGATTATTTTTTATTATTAAAGGATGCCACCAGTAACATCTTCGGTTGCTTATTTTAGTTTTTTTTTTATGAAAAGAGACTTTAAGAGTAACTATAACATGATCATCTAAATTATAATTGTCCTATCTTAGAAAATTTATTTCAGGGAAGCTATCTAGCCTTAAATTTAGAATGATTTATAATTTGTAAGCATTTAATAAATTATCTCTTTTTTTTTGGATGCTACATTTCTCTAGAAATGTAGTTTTTCCAAAGTTTCTGGCCATGTACTCTCTTTTCTTCAAATAACTAAGTCTAGAAGCATGAAAACCTCAAAGGAAAATGTTTATATACATTCACATGTTTATGTAAGAACTGTATATCTTTCTCTTAATATCTGAAACTTGTTTTAAAAGCAGTATTCACTTCAACTCATAAACTTAGAGAAAATTCTGACATTTCAGAAATGTTTGTGTTCTTGCTTTTAAGTGGTGCTGTTTTCCCCAGGGCATTTAGTTCTGAAATTTTAGAGTGCGGAATAACCACCTAGGAAGTTTGTTTAAAAGGTACATAACCTGGGTTAGAATTCTGTGGGGTCTTTGAACCTCACTGAGAAACACTTTCTTTGAGTTACTCCTTTATTTTGTCCTATAGTTATATATTAGAAAGAATATTCAGGATAAAACATTTTTGAGAAGGGATAGGCAATGAGTTACTATCTTATCTACAATTTTAAGTAAATTTCGAATGAATAACTTGTTAAAGCTAGGTATCTTCTCCGAAAAAAAAAAGACCCACCAGCTCTTTATCAATGTTACAAACGACAAACGTTTTTCTGTGACAAGCTTTTAAGCATTTTTCAGAGTTGTCTTCTGTTTTTAAATCTTTCTTTTAAACAATTAAGTTTCACTGTGTATATTTTATACAGAATTGCATTACAAATATGTTTTTAATTGTGTTCTGTTTTTGTAGTCTTTAAGTGCCACGCCAATTGTTTTTATATTATACAGAAGTTCTCTCAAAATACCAGGGGAATAAGGCAGTTGACAGAATGGTTGGAATTTTGGTGTTCTAAGAGAAAATTTATTTTGTACAAATGTGTATGTGTTCAGACCATTTTATATGTATGCCACCTGAATTGGATATCAGGTATTATGCTTGGTTAGTACCTCTACATTTACTTTTTAAATTTTGTTTTGTTCTGTGTAATGTAATCTGTATTTGTATACCTGTTTTTTTACTTTAAAATCTTGAAATAAAATGTTTAATGCTCATCAAGATTGTAACACTTTAAGTATGTGGTATATAAGAAATTTGTGTAAGAAAACAGGTGTATCAAAGTTTGTTCAAGAAGAAAAATGAAAATTTTTGAGTTTGGGATTCTGCTGTACTTAGGGTAGTACTGATACCGTATTGTAGACATTTACTAATGAAGTATTGTTCAGTGTACTTTAAAACTCACCCTTCTTTGTATCTCTTCTCTTGGAAAACAAGTTTAGTATAAAAGTCAGCTGAACATAGAATAGTTTAACTGGTTTTAAAAATTGAAGCAGTTTAAATAGATTTAGAACAGATTATTCCCAGATTATGTTCTACAGTGATCGTTTCTAAAGTTCCAGAACTTCTTTCTTAATCATAGCTGGTGTCAGTATATAAACAAGTGTGAGTCTGGTATCCTCACACTTACAAACCTCTTTACTATATAACTTAATATGTCCTTTTCTTCACAAGGAGAATGAAATCTTAAGTAAAATCTTAGAGTTGTCAGAGAGTTAGACCCTGTATATTAAAACCACCAGAGACTGATCTCCTGTGTCTTCTCTTATTATTTTATCCTAATTTCAACTCTTTCTTAAAATGGAATTACAGGTAGTATTAACGAAATACTGTTCAAATATCCCCTGTACCAAATCATAAATTTGGTGGTTTTCTTCTGAGTTAGTAAAACCCCAAAATAAAGTCCAAAGAGAAGTTTGAAGGTGTAGGGACATTCCACATTAAGGAATTTAGTCATGGTTTCTTCTTGAAAGATAAAACTAATCTCCATTCTTAAAAATCCAACAGGTTGGTTTCTAGACAACACCCGTTTGGTATATTTGATGATCTCCCTTAGTAGATTTACTCTTCTCTGCTCTAGGACTTACAGGATCATTTAAAACCCAGATAGTCTGAGTAGTTTATGTCTATGTTTATTCCAGATGATACCGGAATTTACTGCATGGTGCTAAGGCTAATCAAAAGAATCTCTGCCCTTGACAGTCAAGGTAGAGAACAGACATACTGAGAAAGATATTTGGCTCCACAACAAATAGACAGTAATAAAAGCCAGAAAAATTCAGTGAAATGCACATTGTGTGGTCATGATAGTTTATCAACTTAACCAATGAAACTTGTATGAGTTTTACTTACATTCGTATGTAATTGATCCATGCTAGACATTTTTCAGATTATGATGAATTCTACAAGGTTTTCAAAATTCATTTATACACAAAAAAATCTTAGATTCCTCCCTACATATACTATATATATAGTGTGTTTACATATAAAATTGTTCTTTGCTCCTGTGTTCAGAAATATGAATTGAATATTACATAAGAATGGGATGGGAAAATGTTAGATTCTTCAGCTTACATTAGATTTTGTACAATTCATCTCTTAATTGATAATTTAAATGAATCCAGATCAATTTAGGAGTAAGTAATTTTTGGATGTGAAATGTGGCAATGCAGTTCACCTTCATGTAGTAATTTATGCCTTACTGGCATTAACACTTTTTATTCTGATTACTATTTTAAATGTTTTTATTGAAGAAAATGAAATTATAATTTTTCTAAGAATTAAGTGGCTCTTTATCACAATCCTTTATAGGATATCTCGAAGGTAAAACCCATGCCAGATAGATTCACTAGACTTGAGGGAGCTTTAGTTCAAGTTTTCATTGATAGGTTTGCTGGTCAGAAGCGAATTCTAATTGTGTAAGAAAGAGCCCATTGAAGGGAGGAGGGAATAGAAAAGAAAGAGCCCTATGAAAGGCTGTAGCAAAATCCTTAAAAAATTAGATGCTTTGTTTTTTCCATAAAAGGGAAGGACTGGATTTCTAGAAGGAGTGCTTCTTAACCAGATTTAAAACTCCCATGATATAAACTCTGCAATATGGGACTTTTTACATTATCCAAACTATATTTAGGAAAAAATAATGTAAAGGTAGATAAACACAGGAATTCTAACAATTTATGAGCTTTTACAGAACATTTATAAATTAAAGTGTTTTTTTCTGGGAACTTTATAGATATTTATTTAAAAGTCAGATTTTTAAATTTAAAGATTGTGGATATGCCTTTGTGAGCAGTTTGAAAGTTTATCCAGTTTGAAACAATATTTGAATGAGGAATCTGAATCATTGTACTGAAGACTTGATATTTTACTAAGCTATTCTTTCTTTGTTTAAGTTTAAATTTTGAATCCGTGTATTTGTGGCTTTACAATGTGTCTTGCACTATGCTGATTCTGCAAGAATAAGTTTTATCAGAATTTTTTTGTGAAATGAGTAAATTCATTGCAGACAAGTTGGCTTAAGTTTTTAAAAATCTGTGTGTATGTTATGCCTCTAGGTATGGGATATTTCCTATGATTAAAATAAAACTTAACATTTTCCCCCAAGTAGTGAGGTCTGAAAAATATGGAAGCGGGAAGAGACAGCAATAAGTCTTGTTCTCAGAATGGTGAGTCTGTCTGCTTCACCACCACCAGAGGCCAGTGTCTTGCTGTAACGAAGGTCAGAGTTACCAGCACTCTAGACCGCAGGGGAGGCAGGATGTTCAGTGTGTGCAGGCTACCCAGAGGTTCCAAGATTTCACCAAGGCTGATGATGTGTATTTTGATTTTACATAACTGTTAACATTTTACAGAAAAACTGAATTGCTGTTCTGAAGGAAATCTCAAATATATTATCTGAGAGTCTGGCAAGTTTTCATAGAACTGCTTGGCCTTTTAACCATTCTGAGTGTTAGACCTTCCATATTTAGTCAACACAAATGAGGACTTACTATGTGGCAGGCCCTGGGTATTACATAAGCAATTATATGTATTACATAATACATAAACAAGAATTTAGTCATGTCACATTTCATGCTTTCTGGGCATTTTTTTTCTTCTAGAAAGTATATCTTCAGCTGAAAATAAGACCAGTGCTGAGTTTTGTCATTTAAATACAGAGGAATTCAATTAAAACAAAAATCCAAAAAATTGTCCACATCCTTTCATTGTGGAACTTTACCAAACATTGTGTGGCATCACAGATTTAACCTATGAATGTTTGTAGACAGATTGTCCATTAAAAATATGATTTCAGAAGAGTTTTGACTATTTTGCTAGTTCACAAATTCTAAACACTTTTGTATGGGAGGTAAATAGTTGAAAGGTTTGCCAAGAAAAGAAAAAAACACTTTCCTGCTAGTCCCGTTGAAAATCAATTTCCACCAGGCCTCAATTCCAGGGGGTTATTCACTTCATTGCCCAGAATAGCTGACTGTACAATGTGCTGTAAGTTGCATTAAACAACCTCACACCTTCTCCTTCACAGGTTTTTCATCAACTTTTTCTAGATTTGTTGTGCTGTTGACATGACATTATAATCTCCACATTGAAACTTGGTAGTAAGAGTAATTGGGAAGTATGAAATCTGTCTACTTATGAAATATTCTTAAAAGTATAAGAGTTCCTTTTTGTATTTCAAAATAGAAGGGCAAGCTTGTACGTTATAATGCGGCCTGGTGTCTTTTTTTACTTCTGCGTCGTTTTCAGTGATGCGATAAGAAGTTTCTCAAGGAAAGTCACCTCTATGTTGAGCCCACCTAAATAAAAATGTTTCTTATGGGTTTTTAATAGCTGACATGGGCCAGGCATATTCTAGACATTTTGCATGTATCATTTAATTCTCATAATCCTCTAACAGTGTTTCCCACCTAGAGCTGCTGACCTGAAATCTTTGTAGGGGGGACCTGAGACTAGCATCTCATGCTGGTCTCAAGTTAAATTCTGAGAACCGCTAGCCTGTATTAATATGTACTATTATCACCATTCAAAAGATGGGGGAAAAAAAGGATTTAGGGAGGTTAAGTAATTTGTTCAAGGTCTGTATGGCTCCCAGGCCTGTTGCCTCTCAAGATACTTTATATAAAGTTGGCTCTAAAATCTCAGTCTCCTGAGAAATTACACACAGATGCACCATTGTCCCAAACTGTCTTGCTGACTCCTTGATGGCTACTTATGTGGGTCTGTGTACAGCCTGAGTCTGGTCTCTGATTGCATTGGCTTATCCCTGCCAGCCTTTTCCCATGATACTGTGTTATCTTTCCACGGTATGAGCCTCCCACTGCAAAGACATATGAAATACACTTTGTATTTGGGCCCCTTTCTTTTGAGCACACAGAACCATGTGGTAGCACATCAGAAACTATTCCTATGTTCGACATTTGGTGTGAGCCTGCCCAGGGGCATAATCCTGTGCCTGGGCTCCTCACCTAACTGTAACTCCCTTAGATCAAGAAATCCAGGATGCTGATGATTTCTGGGAAACCAGGATCCCCACACGAACAGCAGATACCCATCTAATCTACTAGTGACTGGGGTTAGTTCATTTAGACATCTTGGAGTTAGTTGTACGCATTTCCTGGTTATTTGTGGTGATCACCCAAGATGTGACGCAAGTAGCTTGCCCTGTACTCCCGTTCCTATTCTCTCCCCGAACTCAACCCTCCCTCTTCAAATCCCTCCTAACATTTCTCCTGTGCCCACTGGGACCGTCCTTCCTGGGTAAATGAATATAAGCGTTCTGAATCTATTTGCTTCGCCTTCCTCCCCCTTCTGACTGTCCCCGGAGGACATAGCTTTCCCTGCCACCCTCTCATGTGTAGGTTGTGTTTTCTCCTGATGGTTCCCAGGGTTTGGCATTCTCCTGGTCCCCTAATGCGCCCGCATGCTATTACCCCTCCACCTCTGTGTGGAAACTACTTCTCCGGGTTTCAGGTTAGGAGGCTCAGCCTCTGTCATCTAGCAGCCTCCTGCTTACTCCATTTCATTTGAGGAAGATTCAGCAGCTGGCTCACTGTTCTACCTGAAGTCAGTCATCCAAGAAAACTTAAGCGTCTCAATGAACAGGGATCCAACATCCAAATGCCAAATCCCATTCTTTCCTTTATATTGGTCTTTTTCCTACCACACTTAGTTACACCAAAGGTCTTAATACATGCTGTCCACATGCCTGTAACACTCTC